TTTCAAAGGCATATATAGAAGTTAGCTCTTCTTCCAACTTTCTAACTCAGACTTCAACCTCTAGTCAGGCAATGGTACTTCGCAGAACTGCCCACAGAAGTCAGCCCACTGCAGGAGGGATTCAGCTCTCTCTTTTCCTTGCCACAGAGTACTACACAGCTTCTCAAAACAAGCATGTTAAAGTTGTTCTTTCCCTTAGAATAAAGTTTACCTTTTTCTTTAATGAAACACTTTTGGTTAAAATCCTGGGTATTTTATTCTTTTTGATGTAACTGTAAGTGGGACTGTTAATTTTTTTTTTGCTAGGACAAGTTTCTATTTTTTCTAAATTTTAGAATAATTTCATATAAATGCTTATTAATGAGCACATTGGCAAACTTTGTTAATACTGTTCAGAAGTAGAAAAAGATAAAACGGAAGACACAGAAACATCAGACATAAATACAGACCTTACAAACTTTCATTTATTTTGCCATTAATAAGGTGCAGTGCAACAAATTAGTATATAAAAGAACAGTCAGATCCTTTACAAGCAATAACATTCGGGGTTATGGACCACGGTCCAGACCTGAGGAATCTGCAAGCGTGGGCACATTGTCATCAAAACCATGAAGGTGCTCTAGGTCATTACTGAAAAGTGTTAAACATTCCTGGGCATGAGTTCCCATAGTTGCTGATTTTCGGTGGGAAAGACTTTGTTTTGTATGGTTTACTTTTTTTTTTCCCCCTCTCCTCTGTTTCTTACCTCTTTAATGTTTGCATTTTTTTTAAGATTTATTTATTTATGCATACAAGAACTGGGATACAGGCCAGAGGTGTGAGGGGTGAGAGGATTCACCAGAGACAGAGTGGGGAGCAGAACAGGCAGATTGGCCGAAATACACTGCTGAGGGGAGCAGCAGGTGAGACAGGAGAGGTTTGCTGCGCCATGTGGGTAGCTTCCTGGCCAGCTGGGGCTCTTGCTGCAGAGGCTTAGGATAGCTTCACTGTGCTGTGGTTAACCCCTTGTGTCACCAGGGAGGCCCTAAAGTTTGCATTTTAATGGAATAGTTCAGATGAGAATTTACTTTCAGAGCTGCATTTTCTGGTCTTGCAAAGATTTATAAGGTAAAAATTCCTGTCAGGTTATTTGGATACCATACCAAGGAACACAGTAATGACAAAAGGAGTGAACCTAATCGGACCTGGTGGTTTTTCCCTTCTTATGACAAAAGACGGGGGGGGGGGGGGGGGGGGGGGGCAGGAGGAGAAAGACGAAAGAGTGGTAAGTTTTCCTCAGTCCCCAGTTTTTAAGGTTGGAAAGCAAAAAGACAGGACTGCTTTGGATAGAATGGTCTTTTGTGATTCCATACAAATTTTAGGTTATTTTGGGGTGGATAGTTATTAGAACTTTGAAATTTTGATAGAACTCATCAGTGAAGTTGTCTGGTCCTAGACTTTTGATTATTGGTAGGCTTTTGCTGTCTGTTTCAATTGCCTTACTAGTGACTAGTCTATTTGGGTTTTCTATATTTTTCCCTGAGTCAGTTGTGGCAGGGCATGTGATTCTAAGAATTTCTTCTAGAATTCTTCTGGAATTCTTCATTTCTTCTATATTGTCTAATTGTATAAATGTTCACAGGAGTCTCTTAGGATCCTTGTATTTCTGTGGTATTTGTTGTAACTTTCATTTCTGATTTTGAGTTTTCTTCTTAGCATTGTGAGATTTATAAATTTTGTTTATATTTTCAAAGAACCACCTCGGTTTCATTGATCTTTGGTGTTAACTTTTTTATCTTTATTGAATTTAGCTCAGATTTTCATTTCCTTTCTGACTTTTGGCTTCCTTATTTTCTATTTTTTTTAGGTACCAGGTGAAGTTGAAATTGTCCATTTTTAATAAGTCTTGTCATTAACTGTTTTCTATGTGCTTTCTACCATTCTCTGTAGAATTATATTAATTTAATCCTCATGACATTCTGAGATAGATACCATTATTGTTCCCTTCAAATAAATGAGAAACTGCTTGAGAGATGGGAAATATGCCCAAGATTTCATGACTGGTGTGAAGGCAACTGCTCCACAGTCTTTACTCTTAAACATTTAACTTAATTCCAAGTATTCTCAGAGTTGGAAATGAGCATAGACACTTTCAGGTAGCCTCTTTATTTTGCCTGTGGGGAAAGATTCAAGACTGAGTTTTGAGTCCTATACCAGTGTTGTTCCACCATTATCAGGACTGAGGCTTAAATTTTTTTCATTTTTATTATCTCTTTTGAGGCTACTGAAAAAAAAAATTCTATGACATCCATTAGGGATTTAGCAATTCTAGAGATCTCCTGAATAGTGACATTTATTGAGTAGTTGAAAAATACTAGTTGTTTAGATTTGTGTTTTGCTTACAATGAACTCAAATTTCAGCATGCTTCATTACAAATCAGAGTTACCATTTATTGTGATACATTTCACATGTTATAAATCTATGGAATAAGTTTATAATATAAAATAAGTGCTATTCCCTTTTTACAGAATCAGGAAATTAAGACTCAAAGGTTAATTTGTTTGTGTACACACAGATGGTATGTGACTGGGTTAGGGTTGAACCAGTCAACTCCAGAGCTTGAGTTTTGGAAGTTACCTATTGTTTCTTGGGTTTCTCACATAGAAGAGTTTATTATTACCTCCATTTATATAATGCTTTGTAGCATGCATTTTACATGTTCTGGGTCTAATATTCCCCAAACCTAGCTTGCTTACGGTGACCCATACAAAAGTACTTCTAACGAGTATTTATTACATGACTCCTATGTAAATGCCAGATTATTTTAAGTGACATTCCAACATTGGCATCTGTTTTGCATAAAAATATTTTCTATTACATGAGAAATTTTAAGATATGGAAGTGTTGAATATTTTGACCATGACTTGAAAACCCAGCTGAAGAGAACTAAATAGATAGTAACTATTTTATACAAAGGATAGTACTTAAAGATTTTGTTGGTGGTGGTTTTCTATTATGCTCAATTTATATCTGCTTTGAAAGTTGAACCACGTCTTAATTTAAAAGTGAACATAGGATAATAATGAAAAGCAAGGGGGAAAAAAAGTTCCTATATTTACTGGTTTTGGCTAAGTGAGTTTATCTTATTACATTTAGTTGTTTGAAATCTAATTTACCAAATTATATATTAGTATATTAATAAATAAAAAATCAATAAAATAAATACATATTAGCATATTAATATACCAAAGTCACAGTTGACTTTTAGGCTGAAGCTATAGAATATACGTTTTGCTTGCCAATAAAATTAAACTTTCTGAAAGTGACATGTGGATAAAACATCTTAAATTTATTTTGGCTTGCTCTGGACATATTTGCCATGTGTTCAAACTAGTCACTTTTATTTTGTGTGTTATTTGATACAATAAGTATTTCTATTAAGTTATTTTAAGTACATATGGTTAATTTTTTTCTCACAAATTTGGTTTTTTAAAAAAAAGCCCCCATCACCTGTTGTCCATAAAAATCAGTAAACCTGAATATCTGCTTGCTTAGGCCTGTTATATTAAATATTGTCAGTGTTGTCTAACCAACATAGGGGTATTTATTAAATTATCACTATCAGTTATTATTTTAATTGGAATTTTTAATTAGATTTCCCACTTGAGTCACCTACCAATAAATAATTGACATTAATCACATATGTAGTTGATTGCTAAATTATAAAGTCTTTAGTATTTTTTTCTACTATATTTTAATTTCACAACAGAAATGTTAGTACTGGTAAGTTTTGTAATCCTTTAATGCAGAAATCAGTAAAAGCTGTTCTGTGCACATGAATTTTTAAAGAAAAGCCAGTCTCTGTATCTGATATTTAGAAAATAGGACCAAATTTCTAGGTATTTTCTTCTGTAGGAAATAGAAAAAAATGATAGCATATTAAGGCTTGACTAAAGCAGCTTGAACAGAAGGTGAACATTTTCAGATACATTCTTTTTTACAATTCACATATCTCATTCTGTATCCCTATTCTAATTTTTCTGTATGTCATGCAATTTCCTCATAACTCTTAGTATAGAAAAGCTATTTAAGCACCTGAACTTCTCATTCTTGCTTCTAAAAATGAACACATCTGATTTTCAGACTAATGTGCTGGGATTTCTTGTTATGTATTTTAACTTTAAATTATGTCTGTATAGCAAAATAAACATACCTGTAAGATAATTGAATAGGCCAGTCTTACTTGGCAGAACATTTTTTTTTTAACATGTGTCTTTAGATAGCTTTGCATCTTTCTTTAAAATCCATACTACTACCTGTTGCTTCAACAGCAGCTTCACATATCTAGTTTTCTGGCCTAGGAGGCATTTGTGATCCTTGATATAAATTAGAAGATAGTGAATTTTTCAGTTTCTTATATTGCTATTTGATTAGAAAATTACTAGTTAATATACCAGTGAAGTTGAAGGTAGAAATGAAATCATAGTGGTTTTGTTATTTAGTAATTGTTTTATGTGAATGGCTGTAAAAATTTGAAAGTAGTCATTTGATGTAAATAGGGGTTTTATTGACAAAAGCATTTTCTGTTGTAGTGGAGCAACATATATAATGGAAGTTACAGAAATTGAAAAGAAAGTAATGAAATTATGAGTAATATAGAAATTGAAAAGAAAGTAATGAAATTATGAGTAATATTATAACCTCGTATACCAGGAATTAACCAAAAAAAAAAAAAAAAACCAATTGAAAATGCTATAGTCATATTTGTAAAAACTACCTTGTATCTTTAAAGTATAAAAACTATGTAGGTTCTCTTGGACTTACACAAGTTACATAAGACAAAATGAAAGGTGTTTATAATGAAAATAGGTTTTTATTAATACTAAAGCAGCAAGTAACATGTAAATATGCAAATATCAATAAGGAAATCAGTAAGAAAATATAATGGAAATGATTCCATTCACAGAATAGCAGGAACATAAAATATCTAGAAATATTTTTAAAAATTTTAATTGTTGTAAAGAAACACTAAGACTCCAACCAAGGTTGTAAAATATAACTTGAATAAATGGAAAATCATTATACCTTCTGAGACAGAAAGACAACACTGTGCCCTGTAAGCATTTGCTTGTATATAGGAAAGTTTTTCAGTACTGAGCTGTACTTCTCGTGCCATCAAAAGAAGCAAAAATCAAAGCCATCAAAGACGGTAGTAAATTAACTCCCATTTTAAGATGATGTATACTAGATGAAGGAAAAGGATGGAGTCGTGTGTATTACAGTCCTCTCATAAACTTTCATCCTGACCTTGTGCCGTGTTAGTGATCTGACTTGGATTAAGATACGTAGACTGGTAATGCGCCCAACTCCCTGTAGAAACAAAACAAAAATCATCAATTTCAAATTCGTCATTTTTTTTCTTTTACATGCTATTTATTTATATGTAAAACCAGGTGCACACATGCACACAACCTTTAGAGTAAGATACAGCAGTACCAACAAAGTCTTCAGGTATTGGAGTTATCAAACAGAAAATCATGTTACTAAGTTGAAAAAAGCAAAGATGGAACGTAATGTAGAAAGTCAGAAACCATAAAATGTGACAGGGCAGATTTGAAAAAAATTCTAAAGAGAAGTTTCAGAATCCGAAAATAAAATAAAATCCGAAATTAACCCAATGTGTAAGCTTAATAGACAAAGCTAAAGTATTAGTAAACTGAATATATAGCTCAGAAGAAATGATGCAAGAAGGAATACAGAAGAGGGTAAAAGAAAACTGTATGTAGGAAAAAGGATAAGATTTAAATAAGGATGCAATAAGACCTTATTTTTGTTGTGTTACTGTCCCAGAAATGAAGGCCCTAGAAATACTTGAATGGCTAGATAAATCGGTTGAACAGAAAAAAGCACAAGGGCTTCCCCGGTGGCTCAGCGGGTTGAGTTCAGTGCTGTGAAGCTGTCCACAGCCTCTGCAGCGCAGGTTCAATTCCCGGCCAGCCAGGGAGATGCCCACATGGCAGGACAGACCTCTCCTGTCTCGCCCACTGCTTCCCTCTCAGTGTATTTCAGTAGATCTGCTCCCCACTCTGTCCCTGGTGAATCCTCTCACCCTCCTGTGCCTCTGGCCTGTACCCCAGCTTTTGTATAAATAAGTAATCTTTAAAAAAAAAAAACAGATCCCTGAAATACTTGATTTGTGACAAAAATGGCACTATAAAGTGGAATGTTAGATTTTTTTCCAGTAGTTGGGTCTTCATAAACAAGAATTAATTACATTTGGATTATAGACCAAAATAAGGCCTTTAGGTGATAATGTAAAATACCTTTTTGACCTTTGGGTGAAGATTTCTTAAGATGTAAACTGACAATATTACAGTTAAGAAGCAAAAAACAGCATTAAAGGAGTCACAGAAGGGAAATTGTATTTGCAGTACAACTCACAGAAGACTTATATAAAATTTATTGAGAAGTAAAGTTGTAAATCAGTACTAAGTTGGCCCCATGGAAAAGTCAGCAAAATATTTAACAGTTCACCAAAGATGAATCTCAAATGATCAAGTAGTATTTAACATAATAATCAGAACTTGATATTCTTTCTGGTTTTAACATAATGGAAAATTATTAGCTTATGTATTAATAGATTATACAACATTAATATATCATTCCTCTTTGGTAAAAATTGAATATATCTTGCATGAAGTCCAGAAACATTTCAAAATGTTAGCTCTGTATGGATGGAATTGATTATTTTACTTTTTGTATTTTCTGATGTCTCCAAATTGAAAAGTTCTAAGTTTCAATATTAGAATGGAATTCATTTTAATAGCTTTAGGATCTGTAAGATATTCTCGTGATTTCTAGACTTTTCACAGGAAAAGCAAAAGGGCCCCTATTCGAAAGTACCTTTTCTCAAAATGAGTGTGCTATTTGAAAAATGATTTAAGGCATGTGAATTTTAACAGCAAAGAATTTCATTTCTGATTTTTTCTGGCATATGAGTGTGGTTATTGTTGATTTGGATGGGACATTTGACAAATACACAAAAATATGTTCCACTGTATTTTTGCCACAGCTTCCAAGAGACTTAGACATAAATTTAGAGTTCATTGCTCATCTCTATATACTTGTCTGCTTCAACTGTTTTTAGATCTGTTGTCCTTTTCATCATTTTTTGTTGTAGGGACAAAAATGTGTGTATATATACTTGTATGTAAATGTACAGAAGCACATAGTACAATCATACCCGTTATGTAAAAATGCTGTTTTAAATTTCTTTCAGCCAGCAAATGGAGTATTCTTGAGTATGTTTCTAATTGTTTTGCCATTGGAATCCATGGCTCATGGACTCTTCTATGAATTGGGTAACTGTTTGGGAGGAACATCTGTTGGATATGCTATTGTGATTCCTACTAACTTCTGCAGGTAATTTAATTAGTAATAGCTACTTAATATTTTCTTAGTATTTATGTGAATATGAATATAAACATGATAGCTCTTGAAACACATTTATGTATTATATATAAATCTTCAGGGTTCAATTTGAATATATTTTTATAAATGATTATAGTTTATATTAGCTATAAATCAGCTAATATGAATTTTCTAAGTAAAGGTTATACCCTTTCTTCAGAAAGGGATATTGTTTAAAAAAATAGTCCATGAAACAGTATCATAAAATACAATATACAATGGTCCTTAAAACCCTAAGTTTTAGATCTGTTTCCTTAGACAAATTATGACTTCTCTGCACCTCAATGTCCTTATCAAGACATCAAAATGCAAATGACACAGTACTTTACCCATGTCAGGAATGTAATAGAATATAATGTAAAAACTGGCATGACATTTTCTAGTTGTACAAATACAGGTACCAAGAATTCAAGATTGGCAGTGAAATTTTTTATCCCAGCAAATTGGTAAATTTTACTGTTACAGGCAAAAACCTTAGAGATAGAGAAAAAATAGTTCTTAGGTATAAATGGATTCCGATGACCAAGTTTTCATCATACTTTCCCTTGATGGCAGCTGGGAGGACATGCAGTCAAAAGGATTTCAAATATTTGACATAAAACACAAAAGACTATTTGTAATAAATATTTTCCTCCAAGTTAAAAAGAAACTTAGAAGGGACCCATAAAGTAAGATACGACAACTGTGCAGAAAAAAAGTGGATGCACTACTTTGCAGGTAGATTTATTTATAGCTTGTTATTTTTTGGTAATTGATTAACATTAATATGGAACAAAATGTTTTATTCTTTCAATGAAAACTAAAGTGTTAATAGAATAACATTGTAATAAGAGCAAAGTTTTCAAATTTCTGATAGAAATTCTTTTTCTGGATATGTATGATGATCTTTGTCTACCTCACTATTGATAGTATTTTGATCGTCTTTTCTAGAGTACCATTTTACATTTGTTCCACGATCAAATTTAAGTCTTCAATTAGTGTTCAGTAGTAATAAGCCAATGTACATTTTAAAATGACATTAACAGGTAAATGTCTTCATTTATGTACCTTAAGCTAGTAAAACTTGAACAGTTTTAATGAATTTTTAATACTAGCATTGAATATAGAATTTAAAATATTGCTTTATATTAAGATTTCCTTCTCAATAAAAATAATTATAGTCCTTACCCAGATGTTTTTTAAACATTTGAGGTAAAATTACTTGTATAATTGTGCTTTGAAAAAATGTTGTCCAGTATCTCTCATTCAGTAATAAGATGAATAAAGAGTAGTACTACATTTAGGAATAGGGTCTCGGTTTGTATTTCTTATAAATAGGTTTTGATTTTCCAAGGTTAATTTTTAGCAATGCAAGAATTTTAGAACAATTTAGAAAATCTTGACATTTACTTTGCATCAACTATTATGACGCTTATCCTTCCTTTATGTTTATCTAAGAAGGGGACAAAAAGGCCTCCCTGGTGGTCTAGAAGTTAAGTCTCAGCACTATCACCATTATGACCGGAGTTTGAGCTCCGGCCAGGGGGTAACCCACACGGCGCAACAGACCTCTCCTGTCTTGCCCACTGCTCAGCTCAGCAGTGTATTTCAGTAGATCTGCCTGTTCTGCTTCCCACTTTGTCTCTGACAAATCCTCTCATCGCCTACACCCCAGTTCTATGCCTCCCCGCCAAAAAAGGTGATAAAAACATACTTCTTAAATGCCAAAATAATCCTTTTTTTTCTCCTTCAGTCCTGATGGTCAGCCAACACTTCTTCCACCAGAACATGTACAGGACTTAAATTTGAGGTCTACTGGCATGCTCAATGCTATCCAAAGATTTTTTGCTCATCATATGATTGAGACCTATGGATGTGACTATTCTACAAGTGGACTGTCTCTTGATACACTACATTCCAAACTGAAAGCTTTCCTGGAACTTCGAACTGTGGATGGACCTAGACATGACACATATGTTTTATATTACAGTGGGCACACCCATGGTACAGGAGAATGGGCCCTTGCAGGTAAATTTACCTCTGGCACTTTCACGATTGTCAGATTTACAGAAGCAGAGTATGGCACCTAAAAGCTGGGATTGATTATAATAATTTTAAAAGCAATTTGTGTTTACATGAGGGATTACAAATGCAAAATTTTCAAAGGTTGAATTTTTTTCTTAAATATTCTGGAATTTATTTTCAAAGCCATTTTTAAAAATAAATGGTAAAGGTTCAATTTACTGTAACTTTCTAGGTGACACTTTATTGTAAAGAATAGAAAAAAAAAATGTGGTAAAAGCACAGCTTGGCATGGCCGTTGTTTGCCTTGTGAGAGTAGGTTTTGCCCCATAATTCAGCAGCTGTACACTCATGACCTCACCCACTTGCAGATGACCAGGTTGAACCAGAGACTGAGCTCTTTTTTCAGTGAGTTCCTGCCCTTTTCTGCCTGAGACAATCCTGGAAGACTGATTCTACCTCAGAATAGAATTAACCACCCTGGCTCTGAAGAAAATGCTATAATCCATTCCATATCAAGTAATGAAGTACTCTAAGCTGTAAGAATTTATTAATAGTCACTTTTCTAAAAAGCTCTACATTAGGAAACATAACTGGATTTTATTTAAGTTAGCAAGTGGAGAACAGATCCAGAACTTAATTATTGTGGGAATCTGCATTTGCTCTTTATTCCATACCTTTACCCACAGTGCCTTAGAATATTTAGTCGTCTTACATTTCCAGGGTTTCACATATTTTTGCCTCTTTTGCTTGAAAGTGAAAAACAATGATAATGACAAGAGAAATGAAAAACTGCTTTATAGATTATCTGTGATTAAAAAAATGTAGAAAAACAAAGCCTTTAAAAAGCAGTCTCAATTCCTTGAACTGCATCATATGGCTGTTACCATCTGAGATAAGTGTAAGCACTTTGTGCATCTGGGCCAAAAGCCAAATGCAAGATAGGTTCTGTGAAGCAACACATTAGTAATACATGGAGGCCATGTATTGAAATAATACGACTGATGATATGAAACAGATTTTTCATTGTCTTGTTTAAAGACTTAAATAAAGGAATATTAGTTATTCATAAAAATAGTAATATGAACTGAGGCCAGGATATATAACAGAGTCAAAATTCTAAATAATTCTCTAGTATGATCATTTTTATAGTTAAGCAAAGAAATGGTTATTCAATATATCTTTTGAACTGAGACTGCTGGATCTTGTGCTGGTAAATTTTTTCTAATTATAAAGTAACATATGCTCAATGTAAAAATTTTGGAAAATATAGGCTAAAGCATAATTTGAAATCCAAACACTCAGCAGGAACCACTGTTATTTTTGTAGATACACTTCTATGTCATGCTTTTTATCCTAAAATAAACATTTTCTTGTCAATATTATGGTGGAGGATTATTGTAGGCGTGATGTGAATCTATACTGCTAAGTCAGGAGTACCAATGTTACTTCAATTTAAGATTCTTTGTGAAGCAATTTTGTTATAAAAAAATGTTAAATCTAGAATTGGAAAGACTATCAATGTACCATTATTCAGAGTCAGGACTAGAGTGAGGATGGTAATTACCTGAGGCCCAAAATATGAGAGTGCTGGGAATTAAATATTTTAATGCATTATATTCAAAAATTAAAATAAATGCAAAAAAAAAACCCAATCAATGAACCAAATGTAAAACTTACTAGCTTTAAGTTTTTTAGGTCAGAAGTTTATTTACTTCAGACATTTTTATTTCTTTTAAAACTTTTGTTGTTTTTCAGGTATAAAACTGAAAAACTAGTCCATTCTAAACTCTTACTAAACTTCTTGGCTGTAGGTAGACTAGAAACCTACATATGAAGACAAGGTAATAATTTTTCAGGGTGTAAACAGCAGTTGGCAACTTTTTCGGTAAAGGGCCAGGTATGACTTTGTGGGCCATAAGCCCCCTGCTGCAACTAACCTCTGCATTGTAGTACAGAAGTAGCCATGGACAGAATGTACATGAATGTTATTTATGGAAATTAGTTAAAATTTCTATACTTGTCACATGTCAGAATATTCATTTGAATTTTTTCAGCCTGGCCACGGGGACTCTGATGATACAAAAATAAGTGGCATGCTCAGTTTGGGCCCACAAGCCTTAATTTGCTGGTCCTTTATAATTTTAACTTTATAATTAAACTTTTAAGATTTAACTTTAAAAACAATTTTCTTACATAACATACCCTTTATGTAACAAGGATGACTTTTTTCTTCACTTGAAATTGAAAAGTCTTTGAAAATTCTTCTGAAAAAATGCTTTGAATAAAAAGCTGTATTTTTTTCTTACATATTGAATTCCAGGAATTTAAAGAAAATAGACATAAGAGAATGAGTGTTCTAAACGAGAGACTTCGGAAATTAACACTGTTGAATTTTCTGTTGCTCATAGGCGGAGACATTCTACGCCTTGACACTCTTTTAGAGTGGTGGAGAGAAAAGAATGGTTCCTTCTGTTCCCGACTTATCATCGTGTTAGACAGTGAGAATTCAACCCCTTGGGTGAAAGAAGTGAGAAAAATCAATGACCAGTATATTGCAGTGCAAGGAGCAGAGATGACAAAGACAGTAGATATTGAAGAAGCTGACCCACCACAGCTTGGTGATTTTACGAAAGACTGGGTAGAATATAACTGCAACTCCAACAGTAACATCTGCTGGACTGAAAAGGGGCGCACAGTGAAAGCAGTATATGGTGTGTCAAAACGGTGGAGTGACTACACTTTACACTTGCCAACGGGAAGCGATGTGGCCAAGCATTGGATGTTACATTTTCCTCGTATTACGTATCCAGTAGTGCATTTAGCAAATTGGTTATGTGGTCTGAACCTTTTTTGGATCTGCAAAACTTGTTTTAGGTGCTTGAAAAGATTAAAAATGAGTTGGTTTCTTCCTACTGTGCTGGACACAGGACAAGGTTTCAAACTTGTCAAATCGTAATTTGGAACCCAAAGTAGAATATTGAATTCATACTACCAGTTATCACTAACTTGCCATTTTTTTGTATATTGTATTTTTATTTGTGGAAAATACCTTGCTACTTCTGTAGCTGCTCTCACTTTGTCTTTTTCCCAAGTAATTATGATATATATAAGGTGTTGGGAATAAGCATTATTTTATACTAAAAGTATCTGGGCAGTCATAAAATCGACTCTGTAAATAGATATTAAAAATAACAATGCACTTTGAGGAATGTTTGCATATGCCTCTGGTTAAAAAGAAAATACTGTTTATGCTGCCATGGCCAATGAAGAAGTACTAATGCCTTATTTTCTAGGCATAAATTAGAGAATATAGACCAACATGTTTTAATGTAAGAAAACCACCCATTTGCTTACAGATTTTTTTGTGAACATAAGTTTGAGTCCAAGACCAGTTGAATTATAGATGCCTTCTTAGAAAAGAAAAAAAAACAAGTCTGCCTGAAGTGAATGCAAAATTTGCTTATAGTCCATTCCATTCAGATGTCTTGGTTATGACCCGTTCGTTAACCAGTGTGCCAGAGAATCTCCAACTACCATTTAGATCAAAACATTCTTTGTATGGGTAACTGTAAAAGACTGGAGCCTACAAGTTATTCTTTCATACATTGTTAGGGGCCTTTCAAAGCACTGGCAATTTTAAATCTTTCTCAGGGTAACAATGTTTTTTTTGGGGGGTTTTTTTAGTGAACAGTGTTTTCACCTACAAATTCCCTCTGAATAAATTATCTGCCCTTTTGAAAAGTACTATTTAAGAAAATTAGCAATTTTTGATTTTATAGGCTGTTTTTCAGTATTCAAAAATGATTGACCCCTGTAATTTTAATGCTGTGCCATGAAGATTGTTTTTCAAATCACATTAATGATGACTTTTTTCCCCCTACTAAAGGTTATAATTGAAAACAGGTCATTTTTTTTCTTATATACAGGTAATGTATTACTTTTTGTAAGTTCATAATACATTATATAAAAAGTTATTCATTGGCAATTTTACTTAAGCATAATGGTATGGTTGCAATTTTTAAACTTTATTCAGTGTTTTGTCCGAATAAGATAGGCACTGATCAGTATATCTCCATAGAGGTCATTTACCTCCTGTTCCCTTCCAATAATCCTTAAATTCTAAACTTTGATTTCTGAGAAATAACAACTTTGATTTCTGAGAAATAACAAGAGGGAAATAGAATTAAATTGGGGGATAAATCTGATCTTTGTTGTTTAAATGGTGTGACTTCTCTCCATTGAAACCTTTTTTATCCAGCCTCAATGAGAAAATAATGCCTTTACCACTTTCTACCTGGCAACTTGAAAATTAAAGTTTCAATTAGGAAGAAGTCACTTAGGATCAGGGATCTTGTATACCACTATCTATGCAGTATCAGATTATTTCTGTGTTTTGAATATGATTTTCCTAATGCTTTGAATAAGATTTTGTTGATTTTTCCATGTAACGTTCAAATAACAGTTGAGTGTTTTAGTGTATTAAAAGTTATAGAAAAATGTTTATGTATGGTTCATAGACGGTTGATTTGAAAATTTCCAGTATTTGGTTATATTTTTATCAACATCACCCATGTGAAATTCTGTAGTATTTCATTACTATTCTACTCTTCAGAAAGAGCATAGTAGAAAAGCCGAGTGTTAATGTATAAGTACCCAAAAAAAGTTAACATTAAATAAAATCTTTTAAATTTCTGAGCCAATATTGAGCCAGTTAGCTTTAACCTAAAGCATGTCTCTTTACTCTGAGAAAGCCAAGTATAAAGGTATTTGTGCATTCTTTATAAAGTGTTATTAATGAGGTACTTAAAAGCACATTAAAACAGTAGCAGTTTTTAATATGTATCTGTAAAAATACAACCAAAAAAGGTCTAGACTAAAAATGTGACTTGAGCCAATTTAATAACCAAAAAGCTATAGAATATTCATTCTGATTAATTTTCCTACCCAAATAAACTACAGATGACTCTTACGAGATAGCATCTTAAAGCTGTCAGCATCTTTAAGCTGCCAGATTCAAAATATTTAATATGGAAACTATTATAAGCATGATAAATGGTTACCTTTAAAGATTAAAAAATAGATCTGACAATTAAAGAAACTAATTGTCTTATGGCTTTCATTTTATATGCATATATTTAGGAAGGAGTTTCTTGGAAATAGGAATTATTTGGGGGCAGAACTATACCCATTCCACTAAGAAATGGACAGCCTGGAGATATTTTCAACATGTTGATTTGTTTCCTTAGATGATAACTTGTTAAAATCACAAAAGCACTACCCTGTTAAAAACTTTGTAAAAGTATATACCAGTAAGTGATAAGTGATAAATTAAGAAGTGAACATCTTTCACTTCCCATAACTTTTCAGTTATTTTTATTTTGCTCTGATTAAACTTTTATTTGCTGGAATACCTAGATTAACCTTTGCATAGCTTTCTCTTACTCTTAATAAAAACCACAGAAGAGAATTTTTCAGAAGACCATTTTTATGACCAGTGTTTTCATAGTCTATGCTTTAAAAAAGTTGTTAAACAAAAGGCACTTGTATTTAATGCAGTAATTGTTTTTTTTTTTAAGTAAAATCTTTATAAGAATCTTATTTGTATCTGTATTTTGCTTGTAAATTTGGACTTAAATACATTTGCTGTTTTGGATATACCTTTTCAATGTTTTTTTTTTTTTTTTCCACTTTTAGAGCTTAGTCTCTTGAAGTAATGGTCTACATTACCTTTCCATGGGTGATGTGATATTATATATACATACACCAAAAGGAAATGGTTTGATTTTAAGAATGCGATAATATGTACTCAAAGTTTAGTTGTTTCTAAAACAAGACACATTCTTAACTACTGACAGATCTTGACTGTCAGTTCTTTTCAGGCAGAGGCTTATAAGTCTTGTTATTTCTGGCACATAATTACCCACAAGAGTCACTTGCCCTTAATAAGGAAATATTTAGAATATATTTTTGACTAAAAAAGATTTTTGAATAAGGATAAATTGGAGTAATGACTGTAAATTACTATAGTTTTTAACAGTCTTATGTAAGTGGATATTTTAAAATCCTCATTAATAATTCCTAGACTGCTATAGAATTAGTGAAAGGGAAACATATCTCACATTTGTAGTTAAATAGTAGTGTCAAGATCAGTGAATGAAAAACTTCCAGGCAAGTTTAAATGAAAACATAGTTGATGTCATCAAAAAGTAGCTTTTTGTGATTGAGTTCATTTTCATGACTTCAGTACAATTAAGATTGAATTATTTTCCTATTAAAAGGATATAGAGAGATTGTAAATTTATCACAAATTGAAATTAAAAAGTGATGAAGCAATTTGCCTATGCATATCAAGAGATGACACTATAAAGTCAGAAATCAGCTCAATTTTGGAATATCTTCCCTATTCACTAGTTTTAATACATAGTCAAAGGATGAAACAACTAAATAGTAATATTTGTAATAGTTTTGAGCAATTATTGATTTGTTTATTAGAAAATACCCATTTCTATTATGAATTTAAATTTAAGTGGATTTTAGTAGAATTTTGTTTCTTGGAATATACTGAAAAATATCAATCTTTCACAAATCAAAGATTTTTTAACAGTGTGCCAGGAATAAATGAACATATCTTCCTAGACCAGCAGTGTTTATTCCATGTAAGCCAGAAATGTTTTATATTAAAACATTCAATATATTGCTAAAAACTTTTGTATTAATGTTTAGTCTAAATCATGTGACTTTGGAGCCCTTATAATGACTTCTTATTCTACACAACTAGTTATTGGTAAGGAAGATGGGGTGAGGGGTATTCATTTATAACCCATCTCCACATGGACTAATAGCCATACTCCTATTTCTCTCCTACTTAGAGATAATCCTTTCTCAGCAACACTAACCTTTGACTCCTTTTTTACATAAAGCAACTATTTCACCAATAATAAAAATGACAATGGCTGCCAGCTATTGAGCCAAATAGGACTTCTCCGAAGAAGACATACAGAGAGCCAACAGGCATATGAAAAAAATATTCATCATCAGTTATCAGGGAAATGCAAATCAAAACCTCAATCAGATACCACCTCAAACCTTGTAGGCAAGGATGTGGAGAAAAATAAACTCTCATACACTGTTGGTGGAAATGTAGACAGGTCTGGCCCTTACGGAAAACATTCAGGTTTCTCAAAATATTAAAAATGGGTCTACCATATGAGCCAAGTATTCCTCTCCTAGGCATCTACCCAAAGAAAACAAAAACACTATTTCAAAGGGAAATATGCACTCCAGTGTTCATTGTAGCACTATTTACAATAACCAAGCTATGGGAACAACCTAAATGCCCAAAATGGATGAGTGTGTTTAGGTGGGTGTGGTGTGGTAGCAACAACTAAAGGAGAGATCCTATGCCTCTAAAACAGAGTTGTAAATTAATGTTACTAAATTTTTTTAAAGAATATGCATAAAAGATAGTGATTTCTTCTGTTAAAAAGGGAACTGCAAATGTGGAGATGTAGAGACAAGAATGATCTTTAAGGTGTTGGATTGGAAGTGGACGTATCATAAAGATTTAGGAATGAACATAGTAGAAGTTAATTGTATAAGCATATGTGAGTGTGTTCATGCAAATAATTCCTAGCTACGTCTACTTAGAGAATTTGCTATTACCAGAGCCTTAACAGCAATCAACACATATAAATCCCAGATCGTGACTTCTATCATTCTCCTTTATAGAGAATTTCCTGAATGTTATTCACCACTACTCCATTGGAGAAAGTATCGAATACTTCTGATTCCTTTTGCAGGAGAAGTAAAAGGACAAGATGATACTAGAATATCTGTCACTTCCAGAAAGCAAACAGTGCTCAAGAAATGATAGGGACAAGTCCAAAAGGCACAAAAGTCAGCTTGAAGAAACTTCCATCAATCAGATCTGGAAGACTTTTAAGCATTAAAAAAAATGACAGCAACAGATGACATAGTCATTGAGCAAAATAGGGAACCGCTCATACAAACCTAAATGAAAATTTTAATGAAGAACAAGAGTTATGTTAAAACAAAGAGGCCTAAGAAAAAGAGATAATGTAATAGTATTTTCTCCATTCCATACACCTGACAAAGGACTGATAGCCAAGATCTACGATAATTCATACAACTAAACAAGAAAAACCCAATCAAAAAAATGTGCAGAAAAATTTAATAAGCATTTTTCCAAAGAAGGCACACATATGGCTGATAGGCAAATGAAAAAAAAATGCTCTTCATCTAAGAAAATGCAAATCAAAACCACAATGAGATACCATCTCACACTTATGAGAATGGCCCATGTCAAAAGGACATCACGTGTTGGCAAGGGTGTGGAGCAAAATGAATGCTCAAATGGGCTATGGGGGAAATTACTGGGACTTTTGGTGTAATGTGGTAACATACATCTAAAGAATTGTGCGCCTATACTCCGAAGTCATATACATTGCTGGAAACCAGTAAATCCCCAATAAAAATAGTTTAAAAAGATCAAACACTAAAAAGATTAATGAATTGAGTCATTCAAAAGATAGGAAAGGAAGAAAAAAGGAATAAAGATCCAACAAGACAAACAGAAAACAAGTAGCCAGATACCACATGAATCAAATGAACCATTCAGTTGACTGTAATTAGATTAAATGTAAATTAACTAATAGCTTCAATTAAAAGCCAGAAGTGGTCAAGTAGATCAGTTTCTCAACCTCAGTATTACTGACATTTTGGTCAAAATAACTCTTGCAGGAGGCCGTCCTGTTCATTGCAGGACATTCACCAGCACCCCTGGTCTGTATCTACTAGGTACCAATAGAGACACCTCTCTGGCCTCAGCTGTGAAACCAAAATTATCTCCAGATATTTCCAAATATTGCCTAGGGCGTGACAAAAATCACCTCTAGTTGAGAACTACTTTAGTACATGAAAACCAAGGTTGGACAATATGTGCTTTACAAGAAATACACACTAAATATTAAGATACTCAGAGTTTTAAAGGAAAAAGATGGGGAAGATCCTTCACCATAGGTGGAACTATGGAAGACTTTAAGCATTAAAAAACTTTAAGCATTAAAAAAAAAAAATCCTAAGAAAGCTAGTGTGACTGTACTAATAGACGATTCAAATGTGAAGACAAGGGCATTTCCAGAAATGGATATATTTGATAATGATAAAAATATTTACCTATCAATGGACTTAAATGTTCATGCACCTAGTAACAGCTTCAAAATACATGAAACATAAAATTGGCAAAAATAAAGCAGCAGACTTCAGGAAGAAAATAAGAATGTTCTTTACTCAAAAGGAAAATGATATCAGTTGTAAAGTTAGCTAAATGTTGAAATTCTGAATATTAAAATTCCCAAAGCCTACAATCCCAAAAAAACAAAATCCTGAAAATGATTCTGGAAAAAGTAACCTTTAAAAAAGATATCTTTTTACATTTTAAAAGGGGATTTGAAAACCAAAAACACTTGGTGATGTGGAAGTTCCACTAATGTTATTAAACATTAAATGATGAAGTATTATTGGTTGGAAATTTGTTGAAAAAAATAGACTTATATTCACCACTAATTCTAACACAGAAAAAACTAGTACATGCTTCACTTTGGGCAACAGATGGGCCCCTTCAAAACTGTCCCTGTTTTGTTGTGTTTTTGTTTTTTTTTTATCAACTATACAATTCAATCCATGCCTCTGTTAGATCCAACAATTCTAGCTCTTAACTTGTTGATGGATTAATGAGTGAAAAAGTGAAGCACTTGAGGGCCTCCCCGGTGGCGCAGCAGTTGAGCGCTGGGTTGTGAAGCTGCCTGCGGCCTCTGCGGCGCCGGTTCGATCCCCGGCTGCTCCCCGGCCACCAGAGGAGGGTCCCACATGGCGCGCAGACCTCTCCTGCCGCCCGCTGCTGCCCTCAGCAGTGTACTTCGGTCCTTCTGCCTGCTCTGCTCCCCACTCCGGCTCTGGTGAATCCTCTCACCCTCCCGTGCTTCTGACTGTACCCAGTGCATGTATAAACAAAACACACAAATAAATAAATAAATAAAACATGCCTCTATTAAAAAAAAAAAATTAAAAAAAAAAAATTAAAAAAAAAATTAAAAAAAAAAAAAAAAAAGTGAAGCACTTGATAAATGCTCGTTTGAAAATCTGGTGAACTTGAATAGAATTCAACAGACTCCCAGACCTTAAAGACAGATTTGGAATTATGTGTGGTGGAGGCTTCTAAAAGTATATCAATGTTTTGCCAATTAAGTTTGTTATTTCCATTTTGCTGAATAATTTTGGTAGAAAATTCAGAGTAGTGAGTTGGCCATGGGAAAGAAAGAGGAAAACTTCAGTTTAAAAATGTTATTTATGTGCATTATCATTCCTTCCAGCTGATGAAATTCCATGAGATTTTTTTTCTTTTTTTTTTTAAAGATTTTATTTATTTATATGAGAACCAGGGTACAGGCCAGATGTGCAGGAGGGTGAGAGGATTCACCAGAGACAGAGCAGGGAACAGAACAGGCAGACTGACTGAAATACACCGCTGAGGGGAGCAGCGGGCGAGACAGGAGCGATCTGCTGCGCCATGTGGTTATCTCCCTGGCCGGCCGGGATAGAACCCACACTGCAGAGGCTGCGGACAGCTTCGCAGCGCTGCGCTCAACCACCTGCACCACCAGAGGGGCCCAATTCCAGGAGATTTTAATGAATTAAAATTGAATTTCTCCTAAAGAAACCAGGAAGTTACTGACTGGTTTGAAAATCATTAGGTACACAGTAGGATAAGAAGATATTTACACAACAGAGTTGCTGTTTGAAAGAATACCACTGGTATTCTTTCTGTCGAATGTGTGGTGTGTGTGTGAATGCTTGGAAAATGAAGTCCTGTGTACTCAGAGCAATACAGAAGCAAGGTACAAAAGACAGGAAAATCTAACAAGGTATATAGCAGATCAGAGAAGAATTTCAAAACAGATCAGCAGCACGAGGAAAATTAATGTGAACATTTTCTCAGAGGAGAGCCATGCCCTACAAAAAAGAGTAGCTAATCTTTGCAATAACAAGAATTCAAAATATAGTTAGTGATTGTAAAAGTTATCCAGCTCATTTGAACTGTCTTTGTGCAATTGCCCATAATCTAGCCACGTAATACACTTTTCCAAATTGAATTTTCTTTTCAGGTTTGTTCTTTTCCCTTTTTAGTTTTATCCATATTTAAATTTGCAGCAGTATTTGTTACAATTTACTAAGCTATACATTTCATTTTTGCATCATTTCCAACAATGGAGGGATAAACTGTGTAAGGACTTGTAGAGAGTTCTAAATCATTTTATGCATTTTGGTAACTTTGACTTTGTGGGAGTCCATTACTGCAACGTTGACTCTGCAAACATTGTATACCTAGAAATGTTGAAACTTCCTCAATAAATGGAGATTCCTTTTTGTCCATCTGCATTTATGAAAGATGGAATTTCTCCTGATATGTATTTTATTTGTAAAGCAACTATGATGTGTCATGTTTTTAGATGTGTTTCTCAAATAAATCCCCTTTAAAAATGTAAATAAATGTCATTTAAATAACTTTAAAGTTATTTTTCCACAATTATATTTTAGGATTTTATGCTTCAGGGATGTCAATGTTTGGGATGATGGTATTTGGGATTATCTTTGCAATTATCACCCAATGATTAAAGTGACCAAACAGGATTCACAGTAGGTTGATTTCATCCTACCCCCAATACATATCCCACTATAACAATTCCTACCATTTAATTAAAAAAAAGTTTTAATCAGGCTATTTAAATATATCCTAAGTTCAGAGGAAATAGATGGACAGATGTTTTGCAATAGACCCAATTCTTTAAAATGACAGATTTCTCAAACAACAACAGACATTCAATCAAATGTACCAAACTAAGCTTATAGTCCTGTGCAGTTATTTGTATTAAAAGCTAGCATTTGTTAAGATGTTATGCATCCTCTATTTTTCCATTTTGTGGTACACACTGCATATGCATTTCAGTTCTGCTTGGATCTTCATTTAATTCTGCTAAGAACATAGTTTTCATTTCTTGTTGAAAAAGTTTTCATTTCTGAAATGATTTATACTAGAAGACAATGTAATTACATTAAAAGACATTTTAATTTGCAAATTCAATTCTAGCTAAGATTTGTGCAAAATAAAATCTAATTTATGCCAAAGAATATCAAACCTGCTAATCAATTCTCTTTTAATGACTTCCCAGGAAGAAACCGGTATTGGTGATGATTCTTTACACAGCACAGTTATCTTTCAACCATACTGCTTTTTAAAAGTATTCGATCTATTTTTATAGACTGAAATGAGGTTTGCATTATCTATTTACCAAAAAAAGAGAACTTTGCTGCCCAAGAAAGATCTTGTTTTCCTTCAAGCCATTATTTCCAAGTACATTCACTTTTATTTCCTTCACTTTTTTTTTTTTTTTTTTTTTTTTTTACTGCTTGTCTCTTAAAGCCTTCTATAGTGCTCTGTTAATTGTATTTTACTATGATACACCATAATACTGGAGTGACTATAGCTTGTTCCAGGGCTATTACAAGAAAACCAGTTGGATAAGGAAAAAGCATCACTATTAAAGATAAAAGGATAACATACTGGTCCCTAAACCCTGTCTCTAATGGAAAATCCCATGCAATAGATGAAAAGTTATTAGGAAACATTAAACTGCCTCATTAACTTTATGCCCAAGTTGTATCAGCAATTGATTTTTAATGTCTGTGTTCATCATTTATGAGCTCCTACCACCCTTTATATATGTTTAAAATTAAACTTTATAAGGTGAACTGGTAACATGATGCTCACTGCATCATCTATATATTCAGATAATAATACTTCAGAGGAAAAACCAAAAGCTAATGAGGCAGTGTTGTTTTGTGATTCAAATTACTAATTATTACATGTCAAATGTGGCAGCTATTATTGCCACTCTATTTGAAATGACCTTAAAAACTGCCAACATATTATACAGATACTTTGCGCGGGGGTGGGGGAATCAAGACAGCACTGCTTTCTTTTATCTCTGTGGCATGGTTCAAAGTTT